AGAAAATACAGACATGAGTATTACAACATATACGGCCGCTGGAAGATGAAGACGTTCTTATTAAAGACTTTCGAGGAAAATAGTTTAGATATCAGTAATTTAAGCCGCCAAGAATACGACAATGGTTCAAACATGAGAGCTAAACAGTTTTCAAGTAATTATGCTCAAATCGTTGCTTCTACGAATTAAAACGTTAACCTAAGTTTAACATAATATGTAGCTGCACTTACCTTTTTTAATGAAGAAAAACAATAACAACAAGCAATCACAAAAGAGATAAATATTGCACAAATTACTACGTTTGCAACAGTAGACACAAAATAAGGATTAAACAATTTGTCGAATGCGTCTACCCTTACATACGCATCGACATCACGTATTTGCACGTTTAAACAAGACAGAAGGGAATACCAAAGTCGAACTCCTGGCCTGGAGGGATGGTAAAAACATCTACCATCAACAAGGGCCCGGATAGTAGAACGAAGTCATTTAAACACTGTCAAATAGACCAGGCCACTAATCCAGCCTGCTAATACTACGTCATGGTTCGCAGATGTCGGCTTTAGGCGGCCCCAGGGGGAAACCGAGGAAGGATATGAATATGCATTTTTAAGGTCACGGCCGCACTGGAAATTCCAAGCAATTTAAAGGCTCGCTGAATTCGCCTACTCCATCGAAGGGGATTTTTCACCCCGAAAAACCATTAATATCTGACTATATAGCTCCTCTACAACCAACGGAACGGATACCATACGGTCCCTGCCGAGGCTGAAATAGCCATCGCCAGTCCGGTGGATTTTAAACACCGTGGACGAGACTGCTTAGGTACAGATCCTAACCATTAGCTTCCCTGGTCTTACCTGAGTCGACCCTTGGAGGGTTGTTCAAATAAGACAAAACGTTTCCTGTTCAAAGAGGCATCGAGACAAACTGCTTGTTTCAATGATTGCCCGGCGCTTTTTTGAATCGGCACCGTCGTGCACCGCACGATCTTGCACCTATTGTCGGCGCGGGCCTGGAGGGTGCTTTCTTTTTCCCTACAAAACGCAGTCTTTTGGAATGTAAGGGCAGATAAAGATATCCTATACATTATTAAATACATTATCAAACTATTCCGAATCGCTATGGTCCGTATATGACCCTAGCTATTACTTGCAAATACCCCACGAATCGCGGACATATCCGTCTCAGTGAAAATAATATCACACATCGTATTATGCCTGGAGCTGATAATCCTTTTGAGGAAACGGAGGCTAAGGAAGGTAAAATAAGTAAAACTATCATGCCTCATCTCATATTCCCAACTCCTTCGTTCCCGTGCTTTATCATCTATATCACCAGTGTTTACTGCTGATCAAATGGTAAAACAACTGAATATTGGTAGATCGACTGAAGTTCAAATCCTGGATAATGCGCTAGTTTCATAGCAGTTTTTGTAGGTTTTCAAGTGTAACTATTAGTCATTTTACCTTAAACAATACTCTTCTGCTTAGGGAGATAGCTCTCGCGTATTTTGCAGTAATCTAAATAATCCAGTTTATAATATCAGTGATAGTATTTGAAATTTTTTCTTTCAGTAGCAACGTGAGTATTCCCGTTGGGTATACGTGTTGCTGCTGAAAGAAAAATGTGCTTCAAATGTATTTTTTCGATGCACAACTTCGACATTAACTGGAAATTAAGTTTAAATTATACTTTTGTTCTTATGCGAAAACATGCTAAATCGCTATGGTCGGTTGACGACGTTGGTCAGTACTGTGTTTGCTTCGTGGCATGCAAACACATTTATGGTTTAACGTTTAACACATATATGTTTTATGCTTAACGTTTAACACATTAATGGTTTAACGTTAACATACTTATGGTTAACACATTAATGGTTTAACGTTAATATATTTATGGTTAAGACATTTATGGTTTAAAAAGATGGTTTAACGTCTGAATAAAATCCCAATACATCAGGTGCAGTGTTTAACTGCATCTTCAGATAAAGCATGTCAGAGCTTAGTTATATCCGAGACAGTAATTTTATTAAGGAGTGAATATCAGTACTTATTTTCGAGGAAGCTGTTAGATTTCTTCAAATTTCGAGTAACTGGATTTGTTAGTCGAACGTGCAATAAATTCAAGTGCTTCACACTTTTCTTTACTATGAATTCCAATTTAACTGTTATTTCCATAACAGTTAAATTGGAACAAATGTTTAATATAACAGTTAAATTGAAAATTCCAATTTAACTGTTATATTAACTTTTATATTTAAATAATTTTAATATTGGCTGCATTAGAAATTAAGATAAAATATACGGCAAAGCGATTTTTGCTGAAAATTCAAACAAGGTCATGGAATTACTCTTTAAGTCAGGTCTCGCTCCAATGAAATTTCTAGAACAGGCTTAGGTGAAGTCAAGGTTTTTTGAATTTCTGAAAAGTCTGAGAAAATCATTTCTGTCCTAAAGAAAAACGACGTTCATTTTTGTCAGTGCCCACAAACGCTGCGATGGCTTTTAAAAACAATGCAAAAAAGCGGAATAACCTCTATCTGGACGGGATGATTTTAATTAGTCACGCAAATATGCTAAGGCATAATAACAATTGCGTTAAAGGAGATATGCAATATAATGCTTGGAAAGCGGTTATATGGGAATTTGTCTCATATAACAACATTGATAATGATAAAGCTGGCTGATTCATTCAAGCATCATTTAAAACGTATTTAGCTATTTACTATCACATCTGGAAAACGTTTCGCTTCGCATTTAAACAGATGGCTCGAAAACTGAATTAAGAGCGGGTAGTGCATTCTGTGCATATCGAAATAACATCGTAATTAAATGCTGAAACACCAAGTTCTTTATAAAAAATTCTGTATTTCAAGCTGAACTCATTGTTATCGGAGAAGCAATTAAATTCTCAAACAAATTTCAGAAAATGTGTAATCACCTCAAATAGTGTTTCAAACATACAAGATATTACTGGTCAAAGTTGCCCACCGATGGTTCAAGAAATTCATCAACTTCTTACACAATGCCAGCAAAAGTTTAAACCTAAATTGCACTGGAAGTGCATTGCCCACCTAGGCAGTATTATTATTGAAATCGGACTGACCGGAGAACCTCTTGTCATTATAGACATCTTACCTTTGAAATCAAGAAGATACTAGAAAGAACATACACGTTGCTACCTATTCCCTCAAGAAACCTTATTTCAACAAATCGTAGTCTCGCCATTTTCTTAACAGATCACGGCCCATTTGTTTCTTACCTAAATAGATTCGGATTATATCATATTAACAGCTGCATTTGTTGTGCCATAGGTTGAATAGATCCCTACTTGTTCGACTGCCAAGTTACCTAAGCATTTCACTTCCGTACATATACTGAGGAAAACGATAAGATTTGGTTTCAGCAATTACTTAGTAATATCCTAGGGCAAACACTTCAGACTTGAACAAACTATCTGATTTCATATGGTAACAATCTACAAAAAAGCAGTTTAATTTCTATTCAGTAAACTAATAGAAAATATCACAATAAATTTACGTACTCGTCCAAAAAATTTTCATATTATATATTCGACTTTCGATATTGACTTTGGATATTTTTGAATTGATTTATTCGATTTTTGATATCCAAGACTTTTGATATATACCCTCATGTTAACTACTGCATACCTTCATGTTATACACCTCCAATTATCTAATGACACATTTTTCTGAATAAAAATTTCTATTTCAGAAAATATTTGAAAAATATATTTAAAAATTGTATGTAAAAATGTATATCATGTATAAAAATATGTAATTTTCCGATGTAATGCTCACCAATGTATTGAATTTGCAATTATGCCGCATGATTCCAAACACTAATGCTGAAAAATAAATAAATAATTAATAAACACTAATTCTGAAAAGTTCTAATTACGGTACAGCAGCTTATTACATGGTTTCCTGTCTGCTGATAGCATATTTATAATTATTAAAAGTAAGACACAGCCGAAGAATCATTGTAACTGCTCATAAAGTAATATAAAGTTATGCTTAGTGTACGATAATGTTAGTACTTATGCGGGAAAAGTAAATTATAATCACCTGTAGAGACATTAGGTATTTTTTGGAAGCAAGAAAGATGGAAAATTAGCAACGCCTTCGCCGGGAATCGGACCACGGACCTCTCAATTACGCGCTGAGCTTGCAGACCACTAAACTACTAAGGCTCGCTAAGAAAGCAGGAGAAATATCTTATATAATCCCCCTTTTAAAGAGCGACTGAGATTTTTAGGGGACCCAGTCGCCATATCCTGGGTGAGGAGAATCATCATCCAACACCCTTTTAGTTCGGGCGCCACTGTAGGGACATTAGGTATTTTGGGAGCAGGAAAGATGAAAAATATGCAACGCCTTGGCCGGGAATCGAACCGCGCTGATCGTGCAGACCACTATACCGCGAAGGCTCGCCAAGAAGGGGGCAGAAATACCTTATACACTTAAGAAAAAATTGCCAAAATTTCTAGAAATTATATGTTTTTTAACAACTTAAAATCTTTTCATTTAAGATAGCATTTCCATTTATTATTAAAACTCATATGGTATAAACAGACCGATACTGAGTATAATGTGTAATAAAATCACAAACATAAATATAAAATAAATTACGCCTTAATTAATGAACTTGAATAAAATAAGTTACTAGCTATTAAATCAAAAGCAGTTACAAACTGTGAGTTGAGAGTACAGGTGATGAACGTCGTGATCATTGGTTGTAAATGTTTGAGTATATTACTGATAAACCAAGCTGTTCCTATCAAATACTTCTCGTTTTGGTTCCATCATAGAATATTTCTTGAATACACATGCAGTGCATCTAATCTTGTATTTACATATTTTAACAATACATTAACTGTTATGAAATTGTTTCTGTCTATGACATTCTCAAAAATTAACAAAAAACTTTCATTTATAAATTTTTATGTGCTATATGCTGAAAGAAATATGGAAAGAATTTAACAAAATTTTTTATATCTCTCTAACTACATGTTTGGAAAAGATATACATTTCATACAATAATTCGTTGAAAATGTCAAAAGAGAATGATCTCGAAATGAAGGAAAATGACTAGCACATTATTACAAAACTTAACGTGTATAACTGCAACATGACCACATTAATTATAATTTAACAATCTATGAGTAGGTGAAAAATTTAAAGTCCTGGACTCAGACACATTGAAGTTCATTGTTTAATACACATCAAAAATATAAATATCAAAAATGTAACTTCACAGTAAACGTTAAATTTCAGAAAAAATTTCGTTCACAAAGCAAAATGATTCGGATAGCAACAGAAACTCAAATTTCTCACTAGTATCGTCAACTAATCGGACTTTCCATCTGGTAATCATCCGTAGGTGTCAATCTGTGACTGCAATTTTTCGTCCTTTCATTGGCTTCGCGACCGCAAGAACGGTGGTGGTGATGTCGATGCCTTACAACTGCCCAGGCTATTAAAAGCCCAGCGATCAACAGCACTACAGCTGCCATAATAATTATTAATGACAGATATTCAAGACCTCTAGCTAAAGTGTGGCAGTTTGCTGGAGATTCATCGAATCCTGACGGACAGTGATCAACACCATCGCACCAGAGGTGGGGATCTATGCAAGCTCCAATTTCTGGGCATTCAAAAATGCAGTCAACATTTCTTAATGGACGCCCTGAGAGACTCCTATAGAAAGGTTTGGTAACTTCCATCCAATGGAAGTGAAGTTTAATCCCCTTCCAGCTCGAATATGCTATTATTTCTATGAACATGTAATCCCTGTTATTGTCAACAATGCTGTATGTATCATTATACCAAGACTGGGAAAATACATGGTACTCTTTTATGGTCACCCGATTGAGGTTACTTTCTGATACAATGCATGCACTGGTAGTTGGCTTTACTTGATGAGTGTCTAAGTATACGAGCACCCACACACCTTCTTTGCAATCTTCTGGTGGAGACTCGGAACCCTTGAATTGCAGGTAGAGGTACTTTTCAGTCATAGCTTTTATTTGCCATCTGCAGCGGAGCGGACGAGACATGTCCTCACCACTAGTGAAGTTAGTCCTTCCATGAGGTACATAAAATTCAATGGTGCCTTCTGGGCTTACACCAGTCTGACCGTCAAAAACATGAGTGTCACAAAGAGTTGAGTTAAAAAACTCGAACTTGGCATCGAAGCCAAAGTCATTGAAATCTTCAAATGCTGTCATAAAGTTAACAGCAAACACCAGCTTTACGTTGCTGACGAGCGAATCGAAAACATACCGTGCGGATTTATCAGCTGTTGAAGTATTGCAGATACACCCTATTATGGAAGAATGACTATCCCAATATTCAATGGCGCTTATACATGCCATTCGTCGGACACGATCTTCTGGAGATGCAACACAAAGATGCCGCTGTGTCATAGCATCAAAGTAAGTTTCACACTGAGTGTCAGAGGATGCAAGGGACAATCGTATATTGAAAAGAGTAATTCGAACTCTTTCGGATGGTAAACCAACAAAATGAAAAGCACAAGAGATATTTTCCCGACCTCCCCGGCCATAAAAGAAAATATTTTTTGGATTCGAAATGAATCCCCCTTTCGCAGATCGGCTATCAAATCTCCTGTCGCATTCTGTTCTTCCAATAGCAATACCATCTTGTCTGGTGTCCACAAATTCGTAACGTACGATGAAGTTACTGTAACTGAATACGTCTATGATATCCAGTGTGGATAAAAATGAATGCCTGAGAACAAATGTTGGCCCAGATGACAAATAACTTTCTTCGGGGTATCTGCATGGTCGATCAGGGGAAAAGTAAGGAGGGTAGTCTGCAGCATGAGCACATATTTTCGGAGTTACAGTTTCTCCGCAAAAATGCATAGGATATGTCTCATAACCGTCATCTAGATCCAGAACAAGCCATCGTTCGTCGCTGTCGAACATTTCTAGTTTGCTGAAAGTACACATATTTTCATCTTCACTATCCTTTATAATAGTTGTCTTTTCTCTTGAGAGGTAAGATACAAAATACAACCATATTCGATCATAGCTAGATGCACCAATGAATTTGTATGTGCATGAAGAATTTTCTGGCATTGTATACTTCGGGCTTATAATAACTCCCCATCGTCTATGACGATTTGCGTCTATAATATAAGCGCATCTATGTCTGTCCTTTTGCATGGAGGCAGCAATCTCAGGTTCAAATCTCACAGAGACTTCAATTTCAAGCCTTGAACTTCCTAGTGCACTGCATGGAGCACTGTATAACTGAATCAGAAGATCTGGCCCACTGGAAACAACTGGTGACATAACTCCATCTCCACAGAACTGGGCTAAAAGTGGCATAGTTGATGTGGGTCCATCATAAACCCTAACGGCATCACTTGAAGCTCCAGAGCAGTCCGTAGATAATGAAGAACTGCTTCTCAAACCTGATGCAGAATTTCCAGAAGGGGAATCTCCCCCTCTAGGAATGAATATTTTATAGTCATTGGTCTGAGACAGTACGATGGCTGCTACACTGGCATGAGGAACTTGCATTTGCTTGATAAAATAATTGCAAGTTATGTTACGCGGATAAAATCCTGGAAAGTTTGGACTGCGTAACTTGCAACGGCGGTAGTGGCAGTTCAGAAACATTCTGTCACAAAATGTCCCGGGAATTGGATTTCCATACTGGGATGATGTGAAGCCACTGTTAGGAAGAGAGTAAATCCTATTTTTGGTTAAAAACCGGAATGTGAGAAACAGGCTGAATGGAGATGTTGAAGGGATAAACGCCCTGCTTGGGACCACTATTAGAAGCGTGACACTGCTTGATTTGGAATAGAACGTGACACTTCTTTCACTTAATCTGCCACAGAAATTGCCGAATTCAGGCTGATCGGAAGAATCATCAGGAGAAGTTGGGTGCTGTTCATATATTTTCATAAATCCTCTTCTGCAGGCAGAATCAGCATCCCTAAAATGAAATTTAATATGAAACATGTAGAGAATAATATCAATAAAGTACTATGTGCTTGTTAAAAACTTTACAAACATCCATAAGGAATATTTTGGTTACAAAATGCATGCTTTTTTCATATAACATACGACATTTCTTTTAAAATATATTCATTTTTGATTCTTTTACAAAATATTTTCCCCCTTTTTTAAAAAATTTAAGATTATCCGGTTTATTTGGGACAAAGACATTTCGGACAAAACTTTTTCCATTTAGGAAATTGTATATGTTTTCCTCGGCTGAAAGTAAAAATAAATTCTTCTAAACATATGTTGAACTACATTTCATGAAAAGGTATATATTAGGACAGGGGTTCGCAACTATATGCCCGCGCGGGGACTATGGCGCCCGCCGATCGATTAACGTGTGCCCGCCGCCGTGCGATCGTAATAAAAATGTTTTAGTTTTCAATAAAATTGTATTTGAAAGTTTTCTCATTTTTAATAAAATAGAAATTACGTCCAACACAGATACGAGCACAAAGCGAAATGCGACCGATTTCTTTTTTTCATGAGCATGTATTTTTAACTCTATCCAACTATAAATTCAGCTTGAAAACGTAAATGGGGCCCGCCGTCCAAGTGATATTCTAGAATGTGCTCTTAGGGACAGAAAAAGTTGGAGACCCTGAATTAGAATATACTTACTTTTGTAAAAATATATGTACATGTAATGCTTAAAATGATGAGTGACCTTGAGCTTTAATTTTGATTTTCTCTCGATTGAAGTATATGCATCAATACGCCGATCTTCTAAGGTAATTTCAATAAAGAATAAAACTCTCACTCTTATATGCATTTGTTTCCATAGTAGGTATTTTTGTAACATACATTATGCAAAAAAACTAAAAACTTGAAAATTTCCGTTTTTAATTTGTTATTTTCATTTAAATCGCATAAAAAGAAATGATAGGGATTAGATTATTAAAAATAATCTTCAGAATATTTATTTTTTTTACAATTATGGCTTTTAAACTACTAAATCAATAGCTCATTAATAAAGATGAACATTAATAGCTGCATTTTATCTGAATTTTAATTTCAGAGCAGTAGACATATATTACTTACTTACATTATTGATTTAAAAAAGTAATAATAACTAACATTTTAAGGCTTTGTTAAAAGAATTTTCTTGTTAGATTTCGGAATATATATGTGATATAAGTTTAGGTTCAATGTTTTCTCTTATTATTGTGGTATGTCATCTTTCGCAACCCATAGATGTCACTGCACGCTGTCTGATGAAACTGTTTTTGTGAAAAACCGCAGACGATGTCGCCATGACACACACACACACACACACACAAGAAAAAAAACGCTTTCAGATTTTACATTGCGTCCAAAGGGGCGCCTTTTTAACATTTTTCGTGCTACCTTTTTATTAAATATGGTGTTCTTTGCACTTAAACTATAAAATTAAATTCAACGTCAATATCACAAAATAATTTTAAAATTAGCATATCTTTAGAATCCGATACACAGTCTCGTGCGCTGGAAACAAAAATGGTTTTTCTCTGTAGTGTTGCCATTGCTCGCTTTGAAATAGTTGAGTTTGTTAATCAAAAATTCGTGAAAGGTGTTACAAAATATGAAATCAGTAATAAAACAAATTTCAAATGCCACGTTAGGGCTTCCAGACTCCCATATTCGGTGCAAGATTACGTTATTCAAAATTTGATGGCTCTAGGGACCGTTGTGCAAAACAATGCGAGATACGTACATACATTAATGCAGATCCTTCATTATTTAATTTGTTTAAATATAGCATGGGGCGATAATATCTGGCAGCAACAATTTGAATAGCGATACACCGTTTTTAGTGATTCTACGCAAAATGCCAAAACGAAATTAATAGTCCTTCTGGGCAAATTGTCCCTTTGAACAAAGAAAAGAGGTATAAGACATTGAAAGATGTGTACGTCGTTATAAATATGAAAGAATGTAGACTAGAAGAGAAACACGCTAATGTGACAATCAAAATCGTAAAAACAACCTTCTATTTAGCGCAAGTATATTGAAACACTCAATCGATTTCGAGGGCAGCTAAAGGTCCCTCCTCCTCAGAAGAAAGAAATACCTAGAAAGAAGAAAAATAAAGGGAAGAAGTCTCAGAAACACGTGGTCCTTATCAGCACTGCACGTGGTTATGACCGGATTTTTTAATCAGAGTTACACTGACCGCCTACTTTTACTGAGCCAGGCTATCTGATCAAACATGTAACACAAAGGACAAGAAAAATTAGAGAAGTTAAAAATAGGGAGCGAGGGGCAACTGCACCTTCCCGCTCAAAATCTAAAGTGTAATTCTAGGGTTGAAAATTCTGCCGACTTTTAAATTCTATATCGGCCTTTTTCTCTTCTAAGTAACTTGGATTAGATTGGATTATTTAGGTTAGGGTAAAGCAGGCAAAGGCTTATCTGCCTAAAATCAACTGCTTGATGCAGTTTACTTATTGATATTCTACGGCGATCGTGCCCTTTTAGTGGGCAGACATATCCAAATTTTGAAAATAGTACTATGAATATTGACTTCTTTTTTAACATGAAAATCATACACATCTCAGAACCTTAGAAATTTCTTCATATTTTTGAATGAATGAATGTGCAATGACAAATAAACCAAACGTAGATAAAAAATTTGAATTTCAAATAATGATTTTGGTCAATTCAGCTGCTAATATAAAAATTGATTATGGTTATGAAATAGCCTTTTTGATCATGGGAATAAAAAGCATTTTAGTTTAAATTATGTGAACGTTGCATTAAAAAACATATAATTCTGAGTTTTACTGTATGTACCAACTGATTTCTTATAAAATGACAAATGTTTGAATTTATGATATTAAGATTTTTTTTAAGATATTAAGATTTATGATAGACTGTCTTTAACAGTTAACAATTCTTTACTTAATCTTTTCCCTAGCGTTTCTTTTAACATGTACAATAATGAAACCATATGCCATTAATAATTATAAACTGACGTAAAATTCCATTCAAACTATTTTTGAAATCCTCCATACCCTATGATACAGCTCTGCTAATTTATATGGTCCAGTGTCCAAGGTGTTAATTACATAGTATGCTTTCTATGTACTGAAATAAAATTTGAAGAAGCAATATCTAATACATAGAATAAAATTACTCACTATGTCTGTTAAATACTAATTTTCAAAAGGAGCTCCAAGAATATAAAGTATATGAACGAGGTTTTCGCAAATAATGTTAATACATATAATCCATTATTTAACAAATAGTTGTTTTCTTTATTTAGCAGAACTAATACAAGATTCGTGATTCATTGTCAAATCAAGGGTCGTTTGAAGATTTTCTTTTAGAACTCAATTTACCAATCTGTCTTCCTGATTTATTTTACCCGTCATTTGTTTTCTTCCTTGCAGTCTGTTCTTCAAATTTCTGCATCACGTCTACAGATCTTCTGCAGAATACAGATGTGTTTCGGAACAGCATTTGAAGTTCGCTTGTGTCAACCTTTACAAGTAATCGATAAAAAGGTTTTCTTCGTTTTAAATTTTCGAAAGACCTTGTAAAAGAATTACGGTATAACTTCAAACAATTGTAATGCAAAACATTATATAATTTTTCCTTTGCCTAAAAGAATGAGCAATTTTTAGTAGTGCACTGATAAATGCTGTGTCTCTAAAATATAATAATAATAAAATAAGTATATAAGAAGTAAAACAGCAAAACCTTACAATTTAAAATTTTCAGATTTTAAATTGTAAGGTTTCAGTTGTAGTTTAACACTTATAGATGTTGAACAACTAAAATGTTTAAAACATTATAAAAATTTGAAAAACATAATTTTGTTGAAATTATGCATCATTCGGAGTTAGAAACTAATTTCATAAATTAATAAAAACTACGAATGTTCATTAAAATAATCAACTGTTTAAATTACAAATCAATTTTAGTTTTTAGCAATTAGACATATTATTGATATTTTTCTTTATTACACTTAAATTTCTCATTTGTGAACACGTTAAGCGCCAAGTATATATTTTGTCTTTTTTTCCGTTTAGCTCATATCTGATTTTACCGATGTGCTACAGAAGATAAGTGAAGAATTTGATAGAAGATAGATTTCACACAAGAATATAATATTTTAAATTGTATATGGTCTGCCGATAATGACTGAGGCAACTTGAACGATAAATATACTGTCAGTCACTGATAACAAGCGTGCCCGAAAGAAGAGCTTAGTGTCTACAACTGGTGACTAATGAAGTCCGAAAATAACGTATAGTGTCTGTGATGCATTCATCGTGAGGTGGCTTCTAGACATATTTAACGTGGACTAGATGGGAGCATTTTCATATAGCATACGTACGAACAGGAAGAACACTTTATTTTAAAACGAACAAAACAAATATAATCTACATAAAGTTAGTATCATATGATATTCCATTGCCGTACAGCACGTAACATCTATTACCGTGACATTAGTTTCTTGTTATATAATCTCAACTCTGTGTTAAATGAGGTTTGGTTTATGCGATTACGACAAAGCCTCGAGTGCTTTCTGCCTACTGTGTCAAGTGAGAGAGAGGCGAAAACGCGTTCCGTTCGATGTGCGCATGCATGGTTATCACAGTGTCTACCACTAGTGACTGATGTGTTCCAAACGGAATGTATATTGTCAGAAACAAATGACTGGAATGTCGTTTAATATGTTAAACGTTAACGGAATGATTAATTTTATAAAATGGAAACTGAAAACCTTATTCCCCGCTGAATGGGAAAAGATGCGTAACTGTGTCAAACTGTTGCAGCTGTTCAGCACTGTGATAAGGCAGCTGTTGTGTGAAAAAGTGATGAGATGCGTTTCGAGCATAGTCATGAGGATGATGAATATTTTCTTAAAACGTACTTTGCTGAAAACGAAGCAATATTGAAATTAAAATTTGTTTTGCTCTACTAGTTTCTTTCATTCTTCCTATA